TAGATGGGGTAGCGGTGGTGATAGATGGGGTAGCGGTGATAGATGGGGTAGCCGTGGCAGTGGTGACAGTGGCGACAGTGGTGACAGTGGTGACAGTGGCGACAGTGGCGACAGTGGCGACAGTGGTGACAGTGGTGACAGTGGCGACAGTGGTGACAGTGGCGACAGTAGCGACAGTAGCGACAGTGGTGGCAGTGGTGACAGTGGTGACGGTGTAATTATGGGATTACAGTAAAGTAAAATTGTACGAGTGTGGTTGTGGGAGGACTCTGAGAGAGGAAGATATTTGGAATCTGCTTGCATTGCTGTAAGATGGCTAATGATTCTTTACTGGTTATTTAGGAGGTGAGCATCCCATAGGTGGTGCAGGCGGTGTGGTTGCTATGGAGACTGACCAGCCAGACAGAGGTATGGAAGCCATTCATACATGCGTCGTAAATATAATTTAACACAATTTTTACAATACTTCCGAGATACTGTTGAACTTAAAAGTAATTTAGTTACTGATACTGCTTGATCTGATTGTGTGGGGCAAATAAATTTGAGCAATTGTGATATTTGTGGCACTTTAATATTGAATATATCTAAATTTATCACATTTATGTTGATTTGTATCGTGACAGGGTCCCAAATCGTTATGCCGGTTTGTGTTAAAATGATTTTCTCATGGAAAGAGTGAACAGTAGCTAATTGTAGCCAGTCATTAAGTAAAACAATTGCCATGTGTGGCATCTTTCCAGTGATACATAGATAAGGCCAAGAAACGACGGGTGCAAATGTGTGTAAAATAAGGCTCAATCTGAGCTATAACCTTTGGGCGTGCAAGGAAGCGGCTATCCCCTCCCCCAAGATTACTTAAAATAATTGTAAATCTTTACTGACCACAAGTTCAGACCACGAATTCCTCACCTGCTTCGTGAAACCCTCGCCGATCCGACCCGCCCCCGTCACGCTACGCACCTTTACTGGCAGCTGCGCGCCTCTCTCGTTGCTACTTGACCATCGTCACGACAACCCCCCTCAGGTCATTTCTCAGGTCACCGTGCTGACATTAGGTGATCGTGTATCCTAGGTGCGGACGAGAGAGAGCCAAGAGAAAGACGACGACGGCGTCAGGGGCGTGAGATCATAGCCTGGCGCGAGTCGCTGCCGGTGAGTCTACTAGCCGCGACCGCCGCGCGCGAGAGGGAGGGCGAGAGAGGAGAGCGCGGCAGACGGGAGAGCAGCGAGGAGGAGGAACATGGTCCGGGTGACGAGCGTGAGCAGGTGAGACACACGGCGAGGCAGCCTCGCTGCGCAGCGCACGCGAGACGGCATCCGCGCGTACCGGTGTCGCGCGAAATTCCTGACTTGCGAAATACATCATATAGGATGCGTATGCGCATGCGTCCCGACCAGGGAAAAAAAGATAATTTATTTTTCGGGGGCTATTTTTCAAGCTCGCGTGGATGAAAATAGCACTCTAAAATTTGGTTTGCATTGAACTCTATGCAAATTTACGGGGGTTCTTTTTGGCATTTCCGGGGCTCTTTTTGGCATTTCGGGGGCTAAATTGCCCTGAGCCCACGTGTATTTTTTTCACTGGTCCCGAGCCGACCAATCACAGCTCGTCTGTGTGCGAAATTCCTGATCTGCGAATCTCTACCTATCCACTCTTAAACTCTTACTAATATATACGTTACAAATTTTATACAAACCTTCAATTGACAGTTTGTGTTCGTCCAAGTGTACACAACCTAACGTAACACAAGGACGAGCTGTGATTGGTTGGGTCGGCACGCATGCGCATACGCATCCTATATCATGTATTTCGCACACGTCAGGAATTTCGCGCGACATCGGGAGCGGGCATCATGCGAGTTTGGCATTGAAGGGACGTGGTGGAGTAAAGCTGGGTTTACACTACCGACTTTGTGTTGGCGAATTGGCGAATTGGTCCATACACTATCTCAACCCTAGACTCAACCCTACAATTTAGGATTTAAACAACTTTTCATGACTTTCCAGAGAGCGTACACACTTGAGGTTAGGTTACTATAGTAATGATAGTAATTACTACACAGGGGTAGAAATAAGGAGAAATCATCAGACATCAGAATATGGCCCACAGTATGCCTCAAATTGCAGGAAAATGGCTTAAATATTTCAAAATTTTCTGGGGGGCATGTCGCCAGAACCCCCTAGCGGTGACATGCCTACAGTACGCGGGGCTGCCTGTGGCAGCCCAGGTAAATTTTGCCCCCTGTACATCATTTTCTGGATACGCCACTGACAACAAACAATCGGCAGAGTGTAAACACAAAATGTTGAGCGACCAACCGATCGATAGCAACTAGTTGGGAGATTGGACCATGTTATATTTTTGCCAACTTGGAGTTGCGGAATTGCGAAATTGGTCCAACTCGCCAATTTGACAACAATAAAGTCGGTAGTGTAAGCCCAGCTTAACGTGCTTTCATGTTGCAGATGAAAGAGTCTGTCACTTGTCACCGTTAAATCCTAACCTGTTAGTTTTAGTGGCTGATTTTGTCACCTGGATGTGTCATGTCCTGTCCATGTCACCGTCACGTCTCACTGTCGTGTCCTGCTATTGTCATCATAACATTTTAACGTGTTAATTTTAATTCTTGTTTTTGTCACCACGATATGTCAACATACCATGTCCTGCCATTGTCACCATAGCATCTTAACGTGTTAATTTAAATTCTTGCTTTTGTTACCACTATATGTCAACATACCATGTCCTGCGTGTGTCATATCCACATCTTGTGAGTGACAACGTGTCATGTTCTACCTTTGTCACCTTAAAAGCTCAACATATGTCCTTTTTTTGTCACCTTCTGATGGTTTCATTGAGAGTATACACGTTTGCTTTATTTACTATCACATGCCGAAGTAACAAATTTAGGATACATTTCGAACTTCCACTCCCAAATATTAACATTGGAATTTACTGTATGTGGATATGTAATAACCTACATAATATCATGAGTGTCATAAAATAGACTATAATATAGATGTCTATATTAGGACACTCATGATGATATCATAGTCACATAGTAGCTATTACAGCATTATTATATATATGACTAGCAACATTAGTCTACTATTAGTAGCATTTATAGTATATAATAGCAATGAACCAATGACATTAATCAAAGTGTCGCGCATTGCCTATTGAGCATTTCTATTCGTTTGCCCCCCACAGTCGGCGGATATCGACGAACAGGCGCGGTCAGGGGCGAGCGGCAACCTTCAGGAGGACGCCGTGACTAGCAGTGTGGAGATGGACGACCGCGAGACGGCTGAAGCCGCTAACAAATACAGGCGCACGAACGGTAAACGAAAGCCGACCAACGGCAAGGTCCGTGCGCGAGAGGGCGACCCACCGCAGCTCGCGGCCCGCCGTGAAGGAGACGCGGCGGGGAGGAACGACGGGGCGAGAGAGAACGACGCGGCGAGAGAGAACGACGCGGCGAGAGAGAACGACGCGGCGAAAGAGAACGACGCGGCGAAAGAGAACGACGCGGCGAAAGAGAACGACGCGGCGAGAGAGAACGACGCGGCGAGAGAGAACGACGCGGCGAGAGAGAACGACGCGGCGAGAGAGAACGACGCGGCGAAAGAGAACGACGCGGCAAGAGAGGACGACGCGGCGAGAGAGAACGACGCGGCGAGAGAGAACGACACGGCGAGAGAGGACGACGCGGCGATAGAGAACGAC